TATAGAGCCATCGACGTTAAAATATGTTAATTTATGCAACGTCGTAAATCAAATTATTCGCGTGCGCAACTAATATACGTGATATGAAAAGAATGTCCCAGATTAGTGAACTGCCCTTTATCTATGTTTAATTAAATTGATTGAGAGGGTAAAAAAAACTTATTCGATTAACGCTTTTTTTTATAATTATTGATTAGCTAATTGCCTAATTGCTAATTATTCGAGAATATCATGAAAGCAAATTAGTATTATTGTGTAATTTATGTAACTTTTAATTATATATAAATAATTAAAATATTTAAATTATTTAAATTACATGTTATTGTTACAATTTATTGATTATTCATTTTACAAAATTTTTGATATCATTGTATTGTACTATTATTATATCTGTTATTATTAACATGTATTGTGTACTTTATTTTATTATGTTTTATTTATTTAAAATGATTTAATTATTTATAATCTTCAGAATCTATATTTAATATTATGACGTCAATGGGCTGATTATCTCATGTATATTATAATTATGATAAGATGTCAAGAAAATAAGAGAATGAAAAAGTGAAGAAGAGAAAGAGAGAAAGAGAAAGAGAGAATCAGGATTCCATTCAGGGACGTCAGGAATATCAAAAAAGTGATTGCCCTATCATTTCAATCGAAGACTAACCTTATACACGATTGCAACTCTCATCCTTGATTATGCAAAGAGTGCAAGGCGATCTTTACTATCGTATTAGAAGTCACTATTCAACCTTTTCTTTAAAATGTTGATCGATAGATCAAATTGATACATCAATTGCTTATACGGTATTTTGATTTAGTTAATACATATAATTATATGAACTCCGCAGAACTATAATGTATAACCATAACATTATAATAATTTCCTTTTAATTATATATTTTTATTATTATCGTGACGAAATGATCGTGTTGTGTGCAATCCTATTATTACATTACAATGGGATTGTTGTAGTTATTTCATTGTAATAAAAAAATTATTGATACAATTATAATATTGATAATTATTATATAGCCAATATTTTATAGCCAAGTAAATATTTTTTCACAATATAAATATAAAATTTCATTTTAAAATTTAATTTTATATTTATATTGTGAAAAATATTAGTTCAATTAAAATTTAATAAAACATATATTTTAACTTTTGTAATAAAAATTATAATAATAATAGATTATTTAATCTTTCATTTTGTTGCGAAACTACTACTACGTATTGCATATTTAAAATGTGTATATGGTATACTGTAAAAAATATATGATTAGATTTTTAATTTAACTATTAAATAATCAAATTTTAATTTAATTAGGTATATTTTTACATCGACGAATCTTTAATTCATATTAATATGTTCATTTTAATATGTTAATTTTTTTATTTATATTTAGTCCATAAATTTTTTATTAAGCGACGAAGATAATAATATTGCAGATAACTAAATATTTAAAATTGCATCTAAAGTTTTTGCTGAATCTGAATATTATCAAAAATCAATTGAAACAGACAAAATATATTCAAGATTAAAGATAAATATAATGGCATTTGAGTCGAATATCTTAATTACTCATGGCGAATCTGCCATCAGTCAAATGGCCAAAGCTGTATCACTTTATGAATCACACAGAGGCCGGATCATCTTCCAGTGAAAGTCACCTGTAAGTAGTTACGTAAGGGACCCCAATTTTAGCCTGACGCAAAGCCTCAGTACCTTTGGTACGTAATTGTATGTCAATCGCATTGATCTCACAATCAATAAAATTATGTTAAAAAATATTTTGTAAATTAGACGCATTTTTTGTTATCTTAATATTAGAGAAATAAATTTTTAATTATAATACTAGATAATTGTCTTCTCTTTAGAATCACAAATTTTATTAATTAATAATTTCTTAAATATTAAGCTCACAAGAAAAGAGCAATAATTTGAAATTTATTGATAAGATGTAGGCCTTAAAATGCTCTTCTATCAATTTTTTAAAATTATTATTGTATTTATATATTGCATTATAAAATGTAATTAATATATAGTTTAAACTAATGTTTATAAGTAGTAAATTATATGGACATGCACACACACATATATATATATATATATATATATACACACACACACAATAAATCTTGTGTTCTCGATTATGTCAAAATTTTAATTAAATTTCAATGACATGCAGGAATTCAATGAAAGCTCGAGTATGTAGAAATGTACAAATATTTTCAGATTACATGTGTACGCGTTTAAGGCAAAACTTCATTCCGCACATATATGAATGGCACATCTTGTTGCGACAATTGTATACATGAATCACGATGATTCTCAGAAAGAAGTGATCTTCTTTTAACAATAAACTTTTCCATAAAAGTATATCTTGTGATTAGTGAAAGAAATAAAGAAATTGTTATTTAGAATAATTAAGGTAATGTAGGATTTTAGCTAAAACATATATTAATTTTATTTATGTATTCCTCTATCTAAATTATTTTTAGATAAACTATTCTTTTAATTTTTAATAGATATTTCATTATATATTTTAAAATTTTATTTAAATAGTATTTATTTTAATTAAATAAGAAACAAGAATTTGTTGATACTACTTATGTAAATTATATTTACAATATACAATAAAAAATTATATAATTTTGATTATTTAAATAAAGAAAGTACAACAAATATTTTAAATCCATTATTAGAAATAGATTTGTAAAACGAATTAATTATTGAATGTAAAAGATCATACCGTATACTTACGCATAGGGAATATGCATATGCACGCATAGATTAAATTATTTAATATTACAACATTCAACTGTTAATATTTTAGAAAAAATATGTCAAATTAAAATAGATAAAAGTTTCACAAAGGAAAGAAATTCGAAATTGGAAATTTTTTTCAGGAAAGGAATTGTTAATTTAATGGAGAAATTGCAAATTTGAGATGATCGAAATTATATACAATATGTTATATGATATCATTGCAATGTCACGGCATTGAAATAAATTATGAATGAAAATGTAGTGCAACGACATTCTCACTTGAATGAATATCAATATGAATGGAAATCTCGATTAGATAACAAGAGTCACGAT